ATCTATCTTTCTTTCTTTCTATCGATCTGTCTATCTATCTATCTATCTATCTATCTACCTATCTATCTATCTATCTATCTATCTAACTATCTATCTATCTATCTATCTACCTATCTATATCTATTTCTATCCTTTCTAGCGTTCCGCGCACTTGCTCCTCTCACTGCCTGCATGTTTCACGTCTGGAGTACACGCATACCTGCTTGTTCGAACCCGTCCATCAAGTACTGCCTGAAACTGATTTCGAGGTTTGGGGCTTTGGCCTCAGTGTTGGACGTAGGGCTTCTAGGGCAGCGTGTCTAGAGTTTGGGGCGCTAGGGCTCAGGTTTTTTGAGGTTTACGCTTTAGGGCGTTCTTGGGATTAGGCTCTTAGGAGTTCAGGCCTAAGCTTAGGATTTAGAGTTTAGGGTCTAGCCTGTTGCAAAAAGGGTGGAGTTCCAGGGTGATGTAGCTCCAAGGCCCAAGCATAGACGAGGCCGTCGCTTGAACTCTTCGTCGTACATTAAACCCCAAAGTCCTATAGCCATTAGTAAGCCAAGCACGGAGTGCGAGCATTGCCTGAATGACTGCCAATATTAGTTTCTATTTCTTAGGGCTCCTTGTTCTTTGTATAACCATAGTGCCATATACCCAGAAACCATTCAAACCATGAAGGGCCCTTGTAGCAGCTCCTGCTAGACACAGGCCCCTACAAGGATCCAACAAGTAGATGCTTCAAGAGGCTCCCTAGCAAGCACCTTTCAGTAATATATAGGCTGCCAACTTAGCGGATCTACTTTTCAGATCCTCCCGTAAATCTCCGTAAACCCTAAACCCTAAACCCTAAACCCTAAACCCTAAACCCTCTTATCGCCATGCCAGCTTTTGCGAGTGTGTGAGTCGAAACCCTAAACCCTAAACCCTATTTGCAGTATATAGGGTCCCAACTCAGGGGATCCACTGAGATCCTCCCGGGGATTTCAGGCCGGCAGATGCAGTGGCTCCGGAGGCACAGATCATGGATGCCAGACGCCTGGTGGCACTGTAGACACATGCGCAAGAAAGAACATCCATTTCTCTTCCAAGTGCCTGGATCGAGTCACACACCAAAACAAGCCCTAAACCCCTAAACCTTGCCGATTCATGACCACAAGCCTCGCCTGCATTGTCCGAGTATGAGAGCCGAAACCCCTAAACCCGAAGCCCAAACCCTAAAGTTTACCCAAACCGTATACCCATAGGCCCCATAGTAGTTCCTATTTGGGGTTCCTGTTTAGAATCTTATTAGGTAATCCCAAAAAGGAACTACTAAGGGGTCTATGGGTAAAGGCCAAACCTGGAGCTGGGCAGTTAAACCCCAACCCCGCAACCTCTAAGTTCCACCGGCCCGAACATGTGCCCAAAGGGTCCTAGGTACTGTTATGGGGGATACTTTCCCAAACTATAATAACAATTCCTACTATAGAAACCCTACATTCTACCATATAGGTACTTTGGACCCCTTGGGGTGCTCCTTCAAGTCAAGACCCTTCTACCAACAAACATCTTGCATACGGTACAGGGTTTAGGGGTTTAGGGTTTAGGGGATTGTTTGTGATTCAGGCAACATGGTCAATTTCCTGAATGGGATGTTGCCACCCGCCATGTGAGGATTTTTGGGTTCGGTACACAGAGGAGGCCGTAGTGCATGTAGGAGCGCGAGTACTGCTAGTGTTTTTTTGTGTGATGCTGCGCTACCAGTATGGTATTTTTACGATCACAACCTCATAGCATGATACTCTTCCAGCAGTATCGTATGGTGTCATGCATTGGATTTTGCTATGTTGTCGGATTGCTACAGCACGTCGTTCTCGGAGTACTACAGTACGTCATATCGCTATGCCACAGGGGGCTCATCACGTCAACGCAGGACTCGTCTAACGACGTGTTTTATGGTTTCGGGTTTGACCCAGCAATCTTCAACCTGCACCTCAGATCACCTATACCCCAAAGGGTCCTAGGTACTGTTATGGGGGATACTTTCCCAAATTATAATAACAATTCCTACTACAGAAACCCTACATTCTACCATATTATAGGTACTTTGGACCCGAGGGCAAACTGAGAGTCTCTCCGCACAGAAAGCGTTTCTGGGTCCTTGTTGGCCACAATTTTACATTATTGTTATAGTAAAAACCCAATAGAGATTAAAAGTGATCATTGTTAATATAGCCCCAACAGGGGACCAGGTTCAGTGTTTCGCGGAAACTGTAGGATTCTTTTTTGAATAAAGCTACAGTTCCGCACGGCGAAATTTGCCAGACCAACCCGTGACAACTAAGCCCTCAACCCGTAGGTTTAGAGCCCTTTAAGGGAGCACTTCTAGGAAACCTCCCTACACCCTAAACCCTAGCCGAAAAGCATCTAAGGCTTGGTCGAAGGCAACAATCAGGACAGTGATTCGGCTTAGTGCTTGGGGCTTGTAAGGGTTATTATTTCTTTAGGGTTGAGGGTTTAGGGTTATAATTTATAATTGTGAGGTAGCAAGGGTCCTGGGTTAAAGGGGGCTTAAGGGTTTGGGCTCAGGTTTTTGAGTTCAGGTCTGACTATGTTGGGTTCAGGGTTTAGGCCGTTTAGGCCATACAAGGTTTAGGGCTCGGTGCTTCGGGTTTACGGGTAACTAAGGTTTCAGGGTTTGTCAGGGGTCTGGCTTCTCATTGAAAAAATGGCACTTCCGAGTCTTAGGCCTCAGGCCCGTGATTCGTATTTCCATGACCTCCTAGCAGCTTTTGAAGTGGGGATGAAGGTTATGCTGCGTTATGCTTCGATGCGAATTTTAGTTCAGGGCATATAGGCCGTTCAACATTACATGAGTATTTAGGAGGTGTCATTTGGGATTTTCCATTGGAGTTTAGTTAAGGGCTCTTGTGGCCCAGGCCAGCATTCGGTGTTAGAGGCATGTTTCATATAGCCATGTAATGTTGTATACCTAGTTACCTAGACATTGTACATGTAAATGCTTAATTAAGGGTCCCGCACTAGCAGCTGTTGACTTGGTTTCCGTTCGAAGTTTCTTTTCCCCGGACCCTGGACCCCAGACCCTGGCCAACATTACGGCCCTAAACCCTAAGCCCTAAACCCTAAACCCTAACCTGCTTTGACAGGATGCCGGTCGTGGTCGGATGATCCCAGAATATCCCTGGGAGAATGCCGCTAGCCAGAGCATTCAGACGAATTCAGGGGCCTGACCACTTAAGCTGCTGATGACGAATGTGGCGACCTGAATAATCGGTGATCGTATCCCGGCATCCCCTTTAATAACCCGTGATGGAATTCGGGTCTCTAGAGACTGTAGTATGCTAGGACACCCTGTTTTGACAATTCCGGCCCCTATTTCAAGCACGGGAGTATGTTTGAGCGCAGTTGGTTCTTCAGGCTTGATAGCAGGCCGCGTCTATATACCCCCAGGGTTTAGGGTTTAGGGTCTCGAGTACGATACACGGCAGCATGTTTATGAACATTCACATCCAATATTGCATCCTATTGCTACAGACCGCTGGAGAGACATCTTTCGCCTTGAAGTTCTGTGGCGGCTGGGGTTATTTATACAGTGCGAGGGTACTTATTGCAGCATTCACTGGTTGCATGTGACGGAGGGTTTCCAGACGTTTTGCAGGGTTGGCAGTCTTCGCGAGGTTGTGTCGACTTGGGTCA